ATAGCTATGTGATCTTGGGAAGACACTAAATCTCCAGTCCCATTTTCCTCAACTGTAAAACAGGTATATTAGTGCTTTCTAAGTCTGTTGTGAGATGTAAAGGTATTAAAAATAAGTCATCCTATTACCATGTTCCAGTCTCCTCGGAATTTCTACACAAGCTGTACTGCTTTCCTCCTTGATACTAGAATGCATAAATCTCTTTGACCCTCAATTTTCTCATCAATAAAATGGGGATGATGTTTAAAATAGAATGGCATAAAATAATGAAGCTCAAATACTTTATTACTAAATTTGGTGTTTTCATTTACTTAAGGATACTTGCTGAATGAGGGAGCAGATTTTGGTCAACATTTTATTATGATGATTTTCAACCATGTAGAAAAGTTGGAAGAATTTTACAGTGAACACCTATATACCCCACCTAGGTAATTCAATTAACATTTTACTATACTTGTTATTTTTCATATATCAATTCATTTCTCTTTTGATCCTTTTATCCATACACCAATGCACTCATTAAAAAAAAAAATTAAAACTAACCTGCAGACATCAGGACATATCCCCTTACATATTTCAGCATTAACAAGAGTTCAATATTGGTCGATAATTCCTTTTAAAAAATATGGAAATAAATTTTACCAATGAAATGTACAAAACAAGTGTATACCATTCAAAGAGTTTTGACAAATGCATAACCCAATTAACGAAATCCATCAAGATGCAAAACATTAATATCATTCTAGAAAGCTCCCTCATGCCTTTCCAGTTAATCCCTGCCCCCACTCCCTCTAGGACAAATAGTATTATGATTTTTTTCCCATCAAAAATTAGTTTTGCTTCTTCTGGAATGCCATCTAAATGGACTCAAAGTGTAGGTGCAACTTTTGTTTGGTTACTTTTGTTAAACATACTATTTATGAGATTCATTCATATGATTGTATGTATCAGTAGTTTGTTCCTTTTTAGTTGCTAAAGAGTGTCCCATTGTATTTCTAGTGTGTTTATCTGTTCTTCTGTTTGTTCATTTTCAGTTTGGGACTATTATGAATAAAACGTCTACAAATATTTTCATACACATTTTTTTGTGAATATATAATTTAGTTTCTTTTGGGAAAATGCCTAGGAGCAGTATGTATGTTTAACTTTATAAAAAATTGTCAGACCTTTTCCTAAAGTGGTCACAAGAACAGTTTTCAATATCTCTGGACTAAGCAGGACCACAGACAACTAAGTTTTACTGAGTGTTTTCAATGGGCACTGAGCAGAGAAACTTACTTGAATATAGTACTTCACCTGAGTCTTATATCAAGCCTATAGGGTAGATATTATTATCCTCATTTTACATACGAACTAATGGAGACACAGAGAATGAAGTTACTGCCCAAGGCCACACAGCTAGTAAGTAGATGAACTTGGATTTGGATTTAACTTGAAGTGGCTATTTCTTTTCTAAGGAAATCAATTAATTTCCTGAGAATGGAAATTGGTTATGGTAACTATAGAGATACTGTGCTAATCAATAAACAGTACAAATGTACATAATATAAAATTCTCACCCGGTATTTAGATGTGGTACAAATGGCGAGCAGGAAGACAGATGGATGCATCTATAGCGGCTTAGAGATTTTTCAAAGTTATTTTCAAAGATACTCCATCTCTCCAACCCTGTGCACATCCATCCACCTTCTCTTTAGAAGAAGTGAAGGTTTAAACTTCAGAGTCTCTTCTTTGGTCTGATTAAAAAGAGCATGATGCTTCTTCTCTATAATTAAAAAGAAGGAGCCTGAGGCTTTACTGGAGAGGTGGGTGAGCTGCAATGAGGCAGGGAGAGGAGTGTGTTTTCGCCCACGGTTTTTCTACGCCAATAGCGCTCAGTCGCAGCTCCAGATTTGCTTTGAATTTTCTTTAGGAAACTAGGCACAAGGAGACCAAAGGGAACACACTTTTCCTCTTGGGTCAAAAGTCCACCTCTTATTTAGGCCTCTTCTCTCCTTTTTAAAGCTCTCCAAATTAGAGGGAGTTAAAATAAAAAAAAGGACTCATAGACTTGAGGTGTTGGGAAGGCTGGTAAGTCCCTGAGTCTTCTGAAAATAGATCTTAAGTTTGTGCTTTCATTCTGGCTCTTACACCAGAGATCCTATGAGAAAGTAGAGTGTGTGGTGATTTATGTCATAAAGCTTGGCTTATTATTTTTTATGGTACTGGGAAATAACAATAATTCCACTCCTCTTGGGTCACATATAAGCTAACCCCAAAGTTATGGTAATTTTGTTAGGATCAAGTCCATACTCCTCAGGATGGCGTGCGAGGACCCTCAATATCTACTCCTCCCTGTGTGCTAGGTTTGGGGAACAGCTTGCAGGTCCCTGTGGATACTACATTCCCACCCATTTGCCCCAACAAGAATTCCTTTGTTCCTGCCCCCTCTTCCCAGAATCCCTATTCATCCTTAAAAGACCCAGTTGAAAAGTCACAAATATGGCAATTATTTGTTTACATACATACTCCATCTCTCAATCCTCTTTAGGCTGATTTTTCTCCTCAGGCAGAATATCTTATTCTGCTTTGTAAGCCCTAACCCAGCATATAACAAAAATTAAATGTTTCTCCAGTAGAAAGACATAAGAACAGAAACATCTGAGTAAACAATGAACTGCCCTGAGAGCTAAATTATTTGTTTTCCTTGTTTCACAGAATGCTACTTTCATCTTGTGGTGAAAAACACTTTTGGCTAGGATGTTAAAACAGCAGTTCTTACACATAGTGATGCAGGTCAGCTGTCCCTCTTGTTTTTAGAGGTCCCTACTGGCCAAGGTCAAGGCATTCATTAGAAATATTTTGGGGAAATGTGTAGGGGATTGGGACAGACAAGTACTTTCAAAACTATTGATTTATCACACATTTTAATGACAATAGGCTTTTTCTCTAGAAAAGTTTAGAAAAAGTGATGTCTTTGAAAACTTCACTTTTCTTCTTTTTAATCTCCAGAACACCTCTTCCTTTTTCTCTCATGTGCTCAGACATGAGCTATAACTTGGGCCTCATCTAACTAGCTCCAGTTCTGATCAAGCCCCTGCTCACTGGCATCCAGGGTACTCTCTGGGGCAACTGTCCTTTTTTTTTTCATGTTTTCTGGTTTTCATGAGCCCAGTCCTAGGTCTCCTCCCTCCCCGCCCAGGGAGAACCGGGGTGACTGTGGAGCCACTCCTGCTAACTAGAAGGAATTGGGCGTTGCTGGGCACGAAGCCAAGAACTTGAACTTTGCTGAGGAATGGGATCTGGGCAGCTGCTGACCCTCAGAGCAGGGCTGGCAGCCAGCTTGCAGGGCGCCTGGCTACCTGGGGGAAAGTCTTCTGCTCCTGACAACAGGCATTTTGTTCAGTTCTCCTGTTCTGATTCCTCTCCTGCTGCTTTTTTTGCCGTGTCCTGAGCTCTTGGGTAATTCTACCACTTACCAAATCTTACCAGACTTAAAAAATTCAGCCTCTGCTTCTCTTTCCTCTAAGAGCTGCATTTCCCCTAAAGTTGAAAGCCGACGGAGATCAAGTTTCCTTAACTCCTTTTCTTTCAGGCTCCTGGAGCTAGACTTTTGGACCTACATACCAGAAGGCTCTATTTATCCTATCACGATTCTAAAGGTTTCCCCAGAATTCTGTTTTAGGTTGCTCTCTGGCCTAGAAGGTATAAAGGAATCAAATACTCTACTTTCAGAAACACTTGTCATAATTCTGCATTATTCCAGGAGGCTGCTGATCTTGACTTGCGCATAGCGGGTTTCTCAGTTCTAACAATTGATTTTTGTTGTTTACTTTTTTTTTTTGTCTCCGGGATCATATTCCTCATTTTTCTCCTGTTGATTTTCTTTCCTTTTGCTCCTCTTTTTCTTCTCTTATGTAACCTGCCTATCTTGGTGGGATTTTCTTATTTCTTCCCTCTTTATGATGTTTTGTCTGTCCTAATCAGAATGCAGCTCCCTCCCCCTCCTGGCAATCCTTCTGTGCCAGGGTTTAACTATGAGGTTATGAATCACCGAAGAGTTTCCAGTACACTAATCTGGGGGTAAGGGCAATGTGTTTGTGCTCAGGGTTGGACTCCTGGGCAGGTCTGCGGTTTTAAGTTCAGGGGTGCCCCTAATTCCCTCACTGCAGATTCAGTGCCTCTTCAGGGGCCTGTGGCAATGGCCCACCTCTTCCCAGACCAGGAGGCACCTCTTCTCACTTAACTTCCCCCACTCTCGAGATTTCTCAGAGAGATGACTGCCTTAAAATTGGCAGATGAAATCTGAGTCACTGAAAAGTTATTTTGAAAACCTTTTCCTTGAGAGTCCTCTTCCTGATTATTCACATTAGCTGTTATTTTGTGGAAAGAACACTAGATTTAAGAATGAGAAGAGTTCTGGTTTTGCTGCTTATCAGCTGTGCAACGTTAGGCACATTACTTAACTTCTCTGGGCTCTTAGTGTCCTCACTGGTGAAATGGGAACAATTCGTGGGAATATTGTGAAGGTGAAGGAATAAAGCAGGAAAGTACTTTCACACTATATTGAGCTGGTAGAGTAAATGAGAAAGGGGTGACACCCTGATTCTTCTTTAGGTCTTTTAAAGATAAAGGTGCATTAAACATTGAAATTTGTTTTAGTCACTCATTTAGGTGGGTCTGGGGGAAAGCTACAAGCTAGAAAAGGTGTAGAAATCCTTGTGATAACATTTAGCTAAAACTGAGGGTATAAGCTGTAGGACTTTTAGTCCATGGAGGAGCTAAGGAATTCTGATTAGCTTGCAGTTGCTGTGAACCTGTTTGAGGCTAATATGGCCCCAGGGACTGGCTTTGGGAAAAGGTAGTTTCAACATTCACTTCCCAGGCCAGTATAAAGCCTGTTTAAAAAGAGAGTGTGTGGGTCAAACCCGAAGCAGCCTGGGACATTTCAGACCGGCACCACTTCCTCGGGCTGCTCCTGGGGCCAACCAGAGGCCAGAGCCTAGTCAGATGAACTGAAAAGTAAAGAAAAGATTGCAGAGTTTGGGACTTTGTGCAGACGTGCCTGTGAGTGTAGAGGGCGGGAGGAGAGAAAGGAGGGTGTTGGGAGCGAAAGCTCCACCTTTCATTCCTGCGAAGTGTAAGAGATTGAGGATGAGTCACAGGCACGGCTGCTCAGATTCCCAAAGGTGAGGGACTGACTCCTCTGTTCGGGAAAACGCGGGGTTCGCACCTCTCAGAGTGGCCTTGGCAGGGTGTGAAGCCCTGGGTCTGCCCGGTCTGGTCTCTGGGGCCAGGGCTGGCTTTCCCTCATGTATGGCAAGAGCAGGACGCGTGCTGTGCTGCTTCTCCTTGGCATCTGGCTCACAGGTAAGCGCGGGGGTGCTCCTCAGCATTTCCTTCTTCCTTGCCCACCCTCTAAAATTAGCTTATGTCTGAGAAGTCACAGAGTTTTGCCTAGGAGCCTGAGCCACAGTTGAGTTGATCTGAGTTTTGACTTTATTGAAGTTGGTGCTTTGTTTTTGGGGACTTGCTTTTGGACAAACAGGTTTAGGTGTGTTCCGGGCACAGAGAGGGCTTTCTAATCTCAGATTACAAACCATTTTTGTGGTGGCTACTCTGTACCTTGCACAGAAGGCAGGACTTACTAGTTGGATTTCTGCGTGGGTCTTGTCTGGACTCTGGGCAGCACTGGGAAAGCTGAGGTTGTTAAGGAGAGAGACTCACTGTGGTTCTGAAGCTGCCCTGACAGGCACATTCTAAATGTAAATATCATCGTAAAAATAAAAATACCACAGGGTATAAAGGGTTCAGGGGAGCTGGTAAGCATAAGCTGTCTGGCATTGATTGATTCATTTTCTGCAGAAGACTAGGGGCCAGTAAGAAATGAAAACTGACCTGTTGTGGGTCCCTAATTCACATTAAGATCGAATGCTTAAGCTTAGTACAAGTCTAATTCATGCGATGATTAGTTTTGATTTTCTGTTTCTGCTTTCCATTTTATTGGCTGCTGCTTGTAGCTTGTTCTAAGAGTTTTCAAGTAGGTACCATGCGCTTAGGGTTCTGTGCGGTGGAGAAAGTGAGAGCTGGAGGACTGCTGGGTGGTAGTTTTAGATGTTAAATGGAATGGGAGTGTCAAGGTTGCGTCCAGGTGGGAGTGTGCAGACGCCGCCGGGTGAGGTAAGTTTGAGAGCTGGAGTGTCTCAGTTCTTTTATGCCTTCCCAGACATTTATTTTGGCCGCGTCAGCAGCTCCCTCACTACACAGCTCCCGTTAACCCTTCTTTTTCCTTTATTGCAGCTCTCTGGCCTATAGCAGCTGTGGAAATTTACACCTCCCGCGTACTGGAGGGTGTCAACGGGACAGATATTCGGTTAAAATGCACTTTTGCCAGCTTTGCCCCTGTGGGTGATTCTCTAACAGTGACTTGGAATTTTCGTCCTCAAAATGGGGGACCTGAGCAGTTTGTAAGTAGATTACTGTCATTTTTCAGGGGAACTTGATTAGGAAAATAAGCTAGTCTGCTTTTCCTTGACCTTCCCATATTTTTTCTTAGCAACGAGCACAGGGTAAAGCTGGGAAACAACTCTTGGGACAGAGATGGACAGAAGCGCATGGCCAATGAAGGGAAATCATGGAGTTATTACAAGAGAGGAGCAGACCAGGCAGTCAGCTTTGCTGGCTCCCACTGCCTTAGCCACCTGACCCGGGTACTGAATAAGATCGTTTGTCATTTCTCCTTTCCAGGTATTCTACTTCCATGTGGATCCCTTCAAACCCATGAGTGGACATTTCAAGGACAGGGTGGTCTGGGATGGGAACCCTGACCGCTACGATGTCTCGATCATTCTCTGGAAGCTGCAGTTTGATGACAATGGGACATACACCTGCCAGGTGAAGAACCCGCCTGATGTTGACGGGGTGATCGGGGAGATCAGGCTCAACGTCGTGCACACTGGTAGGTCAGGTCACGCCAGTGGTTTGGGGAGGTGTGAATGCTGATAGAAGACAGAGAGGCAATCTCTTGCAAGGGCTGAAAGAGTGGACAGGACTAGCCCTTCTAATCTGGAAATCTCAGAGGAGACTGAGGAGGCCTGGGATAAAAAGTGAAAGGCTTTGTTTGGTGGTGGAAAGAAACAAAAAAGTAAAGTAAGGGGACCCAGGGACTCTATTACAAAAATGGCACTGAGATCTTGAGAGGGAGAGGAAGCAACTCTCTGATAAAGGGCTAACAATAGGTCCATTCATTCACTCAGCTATTCACAAGATACTTACTGAGTACCCCGCTCAGTGTTAGGTACCGTCCAAAGTGCTTGGCATGCATTGTCATTTAATCCTCATAGTCAGCTAGGCAGAGGATACCAATAATGGTAGCTAATGTTTATTGAATACTTCCCACGTGTCACAGGCTTTACAGGACACATTTAGGCTTTATATGTTTGTTTATTTAGTGCCCCCATTTTACTAATGAGGAAACAGGAAACAGGATCATAGAGGTTAACTCATTTGTCTAAAGGCATGTAGCTGATAAATAAACCTCAAATCCAAGCATCTTTGACTCTAAAATTATGCTCTAAACTAATGCATTGTGTTGTCTGCAGTCCTATCAAAGACAACCTGGAAAATAGTGCCATATAACAAAGAACAAAGACTAAAGAACTTTAGCGCTATACATCTGGTTTTTTTTTAAAAATTTTTTTTAAAGATATATTTATTTATTTATTTATGCAAGCACTGGGTACAGTCAGAAGCACGGGAGGGTGAGAGAATTCACCAGAGACAGAGCGGGGAGCAGAACAGGCAGACTGACGAAGTACACTGCTGAGGGGAGCAGCAGGCATGGCAGGAGAGGTCTGTGTGCCATGTGGGACCCTTGCCGGCGGCCGGGGATTGAACCGCAGCCCAGCGCTCAACCACTGTGCCACCGGGGAGGCCCAGCGCTATACATCTGGTTTTTGAGTCACTACTACTTTATACAGCTATAAAAAAAATCTTTTTGTCCTCTTGTATAGTGAGAATAATATTGCAAAGATTATGGTGAGGATAAAATGAGATAATGAACATTAAAATTGCCTAAACTCTGAATTGTATTGAAAATTATAATAGTTGCCACCTACTGTTTATTATGTGCATTCACAATTTACAGGATAATTTCTTAGTAAGAACCCAAGAAACAGATTCTGTGAGCTGTATTTTATATGTTGAGGAATCTGAGGCTCACAGAAATTCTCCCAGATCACACTGCTCGTAAATGGTGGAACTGGTATTTTAACCTACCTGTCTCTGCTGTGTGGTCTTAACCAACATACCGTATTATTGCCCAAAACACATATGCCTGTAAAGTGGTGTGATTTCCTCCTTTCATTCCTTGTACCAACCCTCAAGGCCCTATTGATTGCTGGCCATCTGAGTAATGTAAGAAGTAGATGGAGACGTAGAGGCCATTTGAGTAATGTAGTCAGATGTAATGTAACATCTTTAGACTGGAGTTTCTTCATTTACAAAATTAATAGGTTAGATAAGAATACAGTGGTTCTTAAACATATTGAGAACACTACTTTTTAGGAATACAATGAAAGCTGTGGTCCTCCTACCACACACACACACACACACACACACACACACCGCACACACTGCACACACTCACAATTTGACGTTGATCTTGTGGACCTCTGGTGCTACTACCACTGTCCTCCAGGCCAGGAACCCCTGAGCCAGGCATTCTCTAATATCTTTTCTGCTTCTGAGGGTTTACTGAAGTTTAAATTAGAAATTACACTGGGAGATAGGAAACCCAAGGCCCCTTTTACTTGTATCACTTATCCAGTGGACTATACTTATTGATCTATTTGCCTGTGGGCATGAGTTTCTGGAAGGTAATTTAACATCTTTAGATGTTGGCATTGTATTTCCATCATAGTGCCTGGAACATGGTAGACCTTTAATAAATTTGAATAAATAACTGGCTGAATGAGTGGGCATCAGGAAGAAATAATTTGAGCAATGGATTTGATTAGGTCAGCAATAACCTTACTCCTCTAGGTAGTTCAACTGGCCCAGTGGTTTTCAAAATTTGAGCATGTACTAGAATCACCTGGAGGACATGTTAAAACAGATTGCTGGGCCCCACCCATAATTCAGTAGTAGGTGCGGGGGTAGGGCCTGGTAATTTGCATTCAAAGTCCTCAAGTAATATTGTTACAGCTACTCCTAGGGCCAAACCTTGGGAACCACTAAAGTAGGCTGTATGGTTTTCCTGTTGCTGCTAGAGTTTGTAAGATAATATAGCAGGAGCAAGGAAGATTCCAGTTAATAACACAAATACATCCCTATAATATCTTTCAATTTCATCACCATCCTCCTCTTTTTAGAAATTCTGACTTGATCTCTTTCTCCTTTACAGCAAGTTTCTCTGAGATGTACTTCCTGGCTCTGGTCGTTGGCTCTGCCAGTGCATTGATGATCATAATAGTGATTGCAGTGGTCCTCGTCCAGCATTTCCGGAAAAACCGATGGGCTAAAAGAGCTCATAAAGTGGTGGAGATGAAACCGTAAGGCTGGGAAGTTCTGGGAAAGTCCTCTTCCAACACTCTTTTACCCTGACTTTGTATTTTACAGTGGAGCTAATTAATCGTTGAACAGATGCACTTCCTTTGAGTAAATCTTGAAGAATTCAAACTCACACGACTGATAAATTAGGGTGTGATTAATAACTTTACAAAAGACTTCTTAATTTTACCTTAGACTTCATTTTGTATCACTTTACTATATAGGATTTGCTATTATACAAAATCTGCTTAGTAAAGCTTTTCTAGGATATTCCTTACTTTTAATGTAAAGCATATATTAGTAAGAACCACTGGGCAGTCAGCAGGGGTACTATGAATCAGTACCTAGGAGAGTGAGCTGTGCTCAATCAGTATTAAAAACATTCTTTGGGTTCTCTTTCCATTAATTTCTTTTCTCCTTTCAATATTTTCCTGAAATAAAATTCACATGGCATGAAATTAACCTTTAATATTCACATTTCATATAAATGGAATTATACAATATGTGGCCTTTTATGTCTGGCTTTCTTTGACTTAGTGTGTTTTCAAAGCTCATCTATGTGATGGCATATAGTCATTCATTTTATGTGTAATATGCCATTGTGTGTATATACCATATATATATATATTTTTACCATTCAATTAGTGGACACTTAGATTTTTCCCATTTTTTAAAATTTTTTTCTTTTATGACAAAAGCTGCTATGAACATTCATGCACACATTTTTGTATACATGTTTTCAATTTTCCTGGGTATGTACCTAGGAGTGAAATTGTTGTGACACATGGTAGCTCCATGTTTACCTTTTTTCCAAAACAACTATACCACTTTATATTTCTACCAGTAATGAAGATTCTGATTTGTTCACCTCCTTGACAACACTAGTTATTGTCCAGCCTTTTGATTATAGCCATCCACTGGCTGTGAAGTGGTACCTCATTGAGATTTGATTTCCATTTTCCTAATGACTAATGATGTTGAAAATCTTTGCATGGGTTTACTGGCTATTTGCATCTCTTTTTTTTTTAATTTTATTTTTATATTCCCCATACAATTGCAGTCCCCTTATTTTGACCCCAGTCCCTCCCCTCCCTACACCCCACCCCCCATAGAGTGTCTCTGGTTCATAGTTTTTTGTTGATTTTGATTTTCACTTTCTTATAGTTATTTTTTTTCCTGGTCCCTTATTTAAGTTTTCTAGATTCCTGCTATGAGTGAGACCATCCGGTATTTTTCTTTTTCTTTCTGGCTTATTTCGCTGAGCATGATCCCTTCCAGCGCCATCCATGTTGCTGCAAATTGCATGTGTTTATCTTTTTTGAATGCTGAGTTATTTGGAGATTTATCTATTAAAATATTTTGCCATTTTAAAATGGGATTTTTTTTCATTGTTGAATTCCAAGAATTCTCATATATTTTAGAGTATCCAAAGCATATTATTAGATATATGATTTACAATTATTTTTCTCATTCCATGGGTTACCTTTTCATTTTCTTGATAATGTCCTTTGAAGCACAGCATTTTAATTTTTGATGAAATCCAATTTATCTTTTTTTCTTTTGTTGCTGTTGTTGTGTCATCTAAGAAACCACTGCCTAATCCAAGGGGTCATGACAATTTCTTCCTGTTTTCTTCTAAGAGTTTTACAGATTTAGTTCACATATAGGTCTTTGATTAATTTTTGAGTTAATTTTTGTATATTAGCAAAATTGTTAAGTAGGGACCCAAATTTATTATTTTGCAGTAGCAGTTTTTCAAGTGTCTCAGTATCTTTTATTTCTTTTCCCAAGAAATATTTATTAAATTAGATAGTACTTAGGAGCCCAATGGACCTAACTCTGAGATTTTGGTTTGAGTAGGTTATAACCAATAAAGATGACTTCTAGATCAACACAAAACTTTTTCTTTTTTGAATAAAGAGTAGGATTAGAAATTAATAATGTAGGGCCTCCCCGGTGGCGCAGCGGTTGATTGCTGGGTTGTGAAGCTGGCCGCAGCCTCTGCAGCGCCTGTTCAATCCCCAGCCGCCGGCAAGGTCCCACATGGCGCGCTGACCTCTCCTGCCGCCCGCTGCTCCCCTCAGCAGTGTATTTCGTCAGTCTGCCTGTTCTGTTCCCCACTCTGGCTCTGGTGAATTCTCTCACCCTCCCGCGCTTCTGACTGTACCCAGTGCTTGTATAAATAAATAAATCTTTTTTAAAAAAGGAAATTAACAATGTAATTTAATAATTTAAAATTATAATTAATAAATTGTAATGGTAAACTAAGGTATCTGCTTTAAGTCCCTGGACTTTCCAAATTGTATTCCCTTCTAAAAATATTTTGGGAAGTGTCTTAAGTTCAGATAACCTGTGTCATGTGGAGGTATGAATATTATCAGTTAGGTGGCACTAATGGTTTCATTCTGTGTAAGCCTCAATCTACATCCAGATATACTCATGTAATTCTTTCCAAAGTATGGGAAGAAGATGACAGAAACTTTGTAGGATTTACCTTCCTTGTTGCTTGTCTTCTTTACCTGACTTTAGTTTCTGCTTCTTTGTTACAGAAAAGAAGAGGAAAAGCTCAACCAAGAGAAAAAGGTCTCTGTTTATTTAGAAGACATAGACTAACATCCTTAGATGGTAAGGTTTATAAGTAGGTTGATTTTTTTCCCCTTAGCTTCCTTGTCTAGTCAGTCTTGAATGTGGATCTCCCAGATTATGATTGTCAGCTGTTTCCTGTATGAAATTTGAGGAGCTGGACCAGGGAGATAAGTGACCTGTTAGTATTATATATTGCTTTCCCTTTGAGTGTGTTTTGTGCAAAAGATTAGGAGGTTAGATCATGATGCCTGAGGGAATTCTAAGATTAGTGAAGCTCTGGGAATATATTTACTACCACCAAGAATAATAAATTTACTTTCAACATATAGAGAAATCTTTTTTTTTCCAAATGAAAGAATTAATAACTGCATGTTTGTTTTGTTTTATTGTAAGCCATTCATGGCATTAAGTGAGCTAATAGATAAACCTGATGTTTTGATAAGAGAACTTCTGTACTATTTGGAATTAATTTCAACTCCTCCTCTCATTTAGTTACTGGATGAATTCAGTATTGGAGTGTGTAGTTTTTGTCCCCCCAGTTTTCAGTTTCATAAAGCTTAAAATATAGGATGATTTATTTTTCATATGATGAAATTTTTTTCTGTTCTTTGAAGTAGAGCCTCTGTTTTTATTTGCAGAGAGCCAGTTTATAGCCTTGAGCACCAGTGAAAGATGCCAAGGATTTAAAATAGAATATGGAGACAGATGATTATATTGTAAACCCAAAAAAGCCCAGAGATTTCACCAAGGACAATTGTCTTTTTATAATCAAACAGATTCCCTAATAAGTCATGGTCATGGAAAATAAAAATGAGGAATTGTTTTAGATTAAAAGAAATTTAAGGGACTGACATAATCAAGTGCAATATGTGATCCCTGACTGGATGGATACTAGTTTGTACTGACTAGTTGCAAAAAGATTTTGGGGGACCTTTGGGAAATCTTGAATATGAAAATTTTGAATATTGATAATATTAGGGAATTGTTAATTTTACTAGGTATAATAAGAACAGGAAAATGTCCCTATTTTTAAAAAATGCATATTGGAGTATCTAGGGGTATAATGTCAGTAATTTGCTTTAAAAACTTCAGACCAGAAAAAAATACAGCAAGTAAGGCAAAAAAATGCTTTAAAATTAGGTGATAGGTGAATTCCACATGTTGTTTTCTTTCTGTACTTTTGATTTTGTCTATAATTAAAGGGAGCAAGAGAGAGAAAAAGGCACGTATGTGTTTGAGTGAGCTGTGGATCATTCAAATGTCCAATCAAGGGCAAAGGCTGAGCCTCCCTGGTGGCATAGGGGTTAAAGTCTCAGCGCTATCAAGCTATTGCCTTCCTCTGCAGCTTGACTTTCTGGGTCAGGGAGCTAACACACAAGGCACAGCAGACCTCTCCTGTCTCGCCCCTGCTCCCCTCAGCAGTGTATTTCAGTAGATCCACCTGTTCTGCTCCCCACTCTTCTATGGTGACTCCTCTTACCCCCCATACCTCTGTCCTACACCCTAGTTCTTCTCTGCATAAATAAATAAAAATAAATCTTAAAAAAGGGGCAAAGTCTAAGAATTAAGGACACAGACTCTAAGAACTATGTAATAAGGATCAAAATACTCTTAAAGATTAAAATAGGGGGAGCACAAATACATTTAAGAATATTTTTCTTCACAATTGAGACTAGACCTAATAATATGTTCATAATGCCAGGTACTCCTATTACACCCTTCCCGAATGCATTATCCATTTAAACTTTTGTTTTGTATTTCAGGAAGTTGAAGATTTCCAAGAATAAGAACTCTAGGATAATTTGAAGTTAATGGAAGCTTTTCTTTGGTTTTCCTAGTTGGGACCTGTCTTCCAACCACCTCTGCAGTATATAACAACCCAGAAAGGAAGATCCTTCTGAGCCAGCAATCCCTCTGGGCTCTTCTTGAGCAGATAACACCAGACTCATACACAGTCCCATATTAAGGTTTTATTTAATTTCAGAGTGCAACTATTTCTCAAATGTACATTAACTTTTGTATACTAAGAAACTACATTTTTGCCCTTGAAACACTCCTTATGGAGATGACTTATATACAACAGATATCAGCTTCAAATGGGATTAAAATCAACTTGTCTGTCATATTCCTCTAACATATTTGTTTTTTTAGAGCAGGACACTTGCTACTAAAGTTCATGTTTACTCTTTCTTTCTCAACTCATTCAAAAAGTGAGTTAATTCTTCCAGCTGATTTTAATTTATTAACAGAAAATTCTACATTCAAACCGTTAAGCAACAGTTTGATTTTTATGGCTTTTAATAAATATGGGACATCTCATTTTACTGAATTTCTTTCACTATCCTAGATGATAGTTTTTTTTTCCCTGTCAAATGAGACAAAGTTTACAATAACACAAGTCTAAATCAGAGTAACTAGAAAAGGCTACATAAATGCTAACAGATTGACAAATGCCACCTCAGCCTGTGTGGAATGTCACCTTTTTTCTGTGTTGCTCAAAACAATCAACAGTGAGGATCTTTCAAGAACAATGAATGGCTGTTTAGCTTCCTGTTTCTTCCCCACCCCCCAATTCAACAATCTATGACAGCAGGGCAGCAGTATGTGTCTATGCTCTAAGTATCTATGCTCTAAGACACCTATACTTGTAGACTGGAAGCATTAAACAGTTAAATACCAAGATTGTGAAATAGTATATTACAACTTTAAAAATTTGGGGCTGGTGAGAAAAGTCAACCCTAAATGTTGATAATTGTGTACAGTGCTATACAAAGCTCTGAGAACTGGAAGAGATTATTTAAATTCTCTCTCTCTCTCTCTCTCTCATTTCAATTCACTGCTTATTTTGGGGGCTCAAGGATTTGTTATGGAACAAAGAAATGCCAAAACTAACAGAAGAAACAAACTTTTTCCTTTTTTCATTTATATGAGTTGGTAACACAAACTTTATAAGTGGGTGATAGAAAGAAGAGTACTTTTTAAGAACAGGTATCTGTTAAGTGTCTTTTCAAATTTAAACTGCAGCAGCAATCATTCAAAGGATAGAAAACATTTAAATGTTTAGAGCCCTCAAAAATCTTTACAGTTTTCACTGACTAGGCTGAACATGTTTTAGAAAACTGGGATTTTCAAATAAGTTATCTGTACATAAAGATATTGAATTTTGACAATTACCCAACACTTTAAAAAATGGTATAATTTACAATATGATCCTTGATTCTGAAACTTGTTTCATACCTGTCTCATTTAGCCCTTTTGTACTGTCTAAAAAAGTAAAATTTTAATATCCAACTTAGGAACAAAAATTTAAAAAGTATACTTTTAATTCACATTTTCTACTTCTCTTCATAATTCAACATTTGAAAATGTAATTACTGGCTATTTCTTCAATCAGATGGCTTGGGTGATGTTCCATAGTGTAAAGAAGTAGTTAAAAACTCATGGAAAGTATTTCCAGAAAAACTTGTAGCGTTGTGTCTTGGCTAAATGTTTCATGGTTAGTAGGACTCTGCTGTTCAACGTCTTCTTCCTAAAGAAAACTTTTGTATTGTAATTTATTTTTTATTGTGCCTTAAACACCTATGTAAATAAACTTTAGTAATAAAGAATGCATCAATTATATAATTTACTCATATACAAATTTAAATATTTTGCAAAACAGGTGGGTATGTATTTTATCTTCACTGACAAATTTTCCTAGAGGTATCTTAGAAGTGAGTAACATACAGAATACTGGATAAATTATTTTCACATGGCTTTGGATAACTGGAATTAGGCACCACAAACTACTTAATTTGGGGACTCTTTCAAAGGAACAATATGATCTATTCTAATTGGTAATCTTAAATTACCTTTTTAAAAAATAAATTTTTATTAAGGTAACATAGGTTTATACTTATATTTCAGGTGTACAGTATTATAATTTGACATCTATATATGCTACCTCATGTTTATGACCAAAAGTCTAGTTTATATCTATCACCATACAACTGACCCTCTGTACCCATTTTACCTACCTCCCCAATCCCTTTCTCCTCTGGTTACCACCTTCTTTTTTTTTTTTTTTTAAAGATTTATTTTATTTATTTAAGCATTCAAGAACTGGGGTGTAGCCAGAGGTGGGTGGTGGTGGTGAGGGAATTCACCAGAGACAGAGTGGGGAGCAGAACAGGCAGATCTACTGAAACACACTGCTGAGGAGAGCAGCAGGAAAGACAGGAGAGGTCTGCTGCACCATGTGGGTTAGCTCCCTGACCTGGCACTCAAACTTGTTGCTGCTGCCTTTGCTGCTACTGATAGCTTCATAGTGCTGAGACTTAACCCCTTGCACCACAGGGAGGCCCTGATTATTACCTTCTTAATAGAGAAAACTACCAACTTTCAAGTCTAGTAAAGGAATGGGAGTTGAAAAATGTAAAGTGTATTTTTCCCCTTTTTGATTTCATTAAATATAGTGAAATTTCAGCAAAGTAGTTGATTAAGATTACCCGAGGGTACAATCCCATGTCTTTTTCAGAAGATGCCACACTATCTCTTCATAACTTCCAGCACTGTGATGACATTGCTTTCTCTTTTCAACCGAAAGATACAAAAATCGAGGCTCTTTTTTCCTCTTTTAGATGCTGTAATGCTTTCACCATTGCCATTTTAAAATAATTTATTAAACACTCCTATTCAAATGGGTACTGAGCTGGATGCCCTAATAGCTCAACACACAAAAGAACCAAAACGAGGTACAAATTCATCAGGAAGGCATAATTCATTTTTATATATATTGACTGAAATATCCTGTATGATCTCCTAGGTCTCTCTGAATTTCAAATTTATAGAAATCTATTTTGAGAGCATTCAAATAAAATAATCTGGAATAGAGTCAGAATGAAGACGGCAGAATTCCATAAAAATGAATGTGAAAATGTCGAAAGTCTGTCCTGTACTTAATTTTCAAGCAAAAGAAAATAACTCCTACATGAATTAAAGAATCGCCAGTCAGCGAGCCATCCCAGGTGCGGCTTTGGAATGAAGCCATGTTCCCATGGCAACTTGGGAATCGTCATTTTAAGTCTCCTCACAGGTTCCCTCTGCGTCACTTCCGGCGTTACCTGTGTGGTTACCGGGAGGTGTAAACAAGGTGTGCAGGCACCTGAAGAGCTGTCGGGATGCAGCAGAGCGGAGCGGCCAGAGGCTGTGGCTGCTCTCTGGTCCCACTGCTGGGCGTCCTGTTGCTCCAGGGTGAGTGCACAGGTGGTTTTGACCCACTTCCGGCCGGGGGGTTTGGAAGGATTGGCGCTTTTCCGGTTCCGGGTGTGTGGGGGGTTGTCTTAGGAAAGCCCCCACAAAGCTTTTGGGGATGGAGGGGGCGGGAGGATGTGGTGTTGAGTTTATCGCCACCCTTTGAGGAGAGTTGGTTGTTTTTCAGTGTTTTCATGAGCTGCTGGTAACGCGACCACTTGGCGTGACTTGGTTTTGGGTTTTGATGCTTGGCATCCCTTTGTAGCACCTCGGAGGGTGCTAGCTTGTGACGGGGCTGACTTGTGACCGGGATATCAGTGGTTGGCCCTGCTTTGGTTTTTGGGCTGTGTTTCCTGACTCGGAAAGGGTAATTCTAATGTTCATTTCAATTCAGTTTGTCCCAGTCAAGAAAATCATGACTGTTGATAATTTCATTTTTTGTAGATGTTAGGATCTACGAAATAAAACCTTTATAGTCACAGAAAGGATGTGCTGTGATTTCATTATAATAGACTTGTTTTGTTGAGAAAGAAGCTTGTACTTTTGCATTTTAGTAACTTTAAACAGTTTTAGGAAGGGTCTGCCAACTCTTGAATTTTAATCTATTAAGTAATATTAGCATTACATATGACATTCTTGAAATTTGTGCAAATGCTGCTTTCGTGCAATTTTCAAATTGCTGTTTCAGTCCAACACAATTATCTTTATTTTAGAATGCAATTATTTTCTGGATGGTGTGTGTATGTGTCTTGCTGGGAAGTTATATGCTAGTTAGGACTAGCACTAGAGTGAATTGTTAACTTCGTAAAATTTCCCTGCGGGTAATAGGAATTTCCGAAGGAGATCTTTAACACGAAAAAGCTTTTGTTGTCTAAATCTCAGCAGGTAAAGCCAGGAAGTTTTAATTTACCTGGTGACTAATATCCATGCTACTAGCATACTCCCTGATCCCTCCCAGCTATTTGTGTCATCACAAGTGTCCAGTTTTTCAGCTAAATTCTTTTGCAATATGTTTAGGATGACCTACTGTCACTCTAAATAATCTTAGGGCTCTCTCTCTCTCTCTCTCTTTCTCTCTCTAACACACACACACACACACACACACACACACACACATACACACACACAGTTCAAATATTGTCCTAAGAGAAAATCTAGATATAATGGCTTTTAAAGCTTGATTTCGTTTCACATTGAAAAGCATCCATGAAATCCAGACCAAATAAGCAAACATTAAAAATTGATTTTAGGATCTGTGTATTTGTTGAATATTCTTTGCTTTTTAAAAAATAACTATTGAGATGTAATTAGCATGTCATACACTTTACCCATTTAAAGTGTACAATTAATTGATTTTTAGTATATTCACAGAGTTGTGCAATAATTTCCACAATTAATTTTCATCACCCTAAATTAGAAACTTAATACCTATTAATAATCATTCCCAGTCCTTCCCTTCCCTCACCCCTGGCAAACACCAATCTACTTTTTATTGGATGGATTTGCCTATTGTGTACATTTTATATAAATGGAATCATACAATATGTGTTTCTTTGTGACTAACTTCCTTCACTTAGCGTGTTTTTGAGGTTTATTTTTGGGGGAGGGGTCTTGCTTTTGTTTTGAATCTGTTGGGTACTAGACCGATTTCTTACCAGTATTTATTTGCTCATCAAAGATAGGACCCATTAAATTATTAGCTTGCTTGAATTCTCCCTAAGTTAATAATGTGGTCTTGCTACTATATCAGTTGTCTAAATATGTAGAAACAGTAGATGAAGCAGCCTGGAGTTCTTACACTAAAGCATCCATTTAAGCATGGAATTTTATGAACCAAAGTTGACAGATTTATATTTTGGAGAACTCAGTGTATGTATTGGGAGTTTTGCCATAGTCCCCTCATTTCTTACAAACAGAGACTGACCTCTATTTAAATGTGATTTTTCTATTGAGATTTTTTAAAGATTGAAAAAAGCATGTTAATTATCATGAATATTGCTTTTACTTGGCAAGAATTCTTTTTTACTCAAGTGAAGATAAATAGCCATAAGAACATTAGAGCTAGAATGAAAATTTCTACATAAGATGTAACTTTGGATAAATATTTTTCTTTTTTTTTTTTTGAGTGGAGGAGATAAATTATCTTATATCCATTTATTTTATTTTATTTTTTTAAAGATTTTTTTATTTATGCATACAAGAGCTGGGGTACAGGCCAGAGATGCGGGAGTGAGAGGATTCACTAGAGACAGAGTGGGGAACAGAACAGGCAGATCCACTGAAATACCCTGCTGAGGGGAGCAGTGGGTGAGTCAGGAGTGGTCTGTTGCACCATGTGGGTTACTCCCTGGCTGGCTGGGGATCGAACTCATGCTGCAGAGACTGCGGATTGCTTCATAGTGCGGTGCTTAACCCTTTGCACCACCAGGGAGGCCCTTTTATATCCATTGATTTTAAAACAATTTCAGAGTACTATATGTTAAAAAAAATGTAGATACATAAACACAGCTTCATGAATTTTCAGAAACCGAATTCACCTGGGTAACCAGCACATAAATCACTATATATAATGTTATTGGCTTTTCAGGAGCCTTCCCTGTGCTTCCTCTAGTCATTATTCTTTCTTCCCTAAAGGGAGCCAATATTTTGATGTGTAACAGTGCACATTGGTTCATCAATGGATCCTATTTCTGTAACTATACATTTCAGACCCACTTGCCCAGAGTTTAGATTTTAGTAAAGGGACTTTAAATATTGATACCTTTGTGGCAAAATTGTGGTCATGAATTTGGAGTTCAAATATGTACAAGGAAGAAGTTGGGAGGTATGTGACTTTGTTCATGGTTTACTTACTGTAATTTAGTAACTAGAAATTTGCCCAGAATGCAGCATTTTAGTGCTTATATTGTAACATTTTTGTTTTACTAAGAGAGGTGTGTTGTTTGTTTGTTGAATAACTGTAACTGAGCACCCACAGTGTGCTAGGTTCTGTTTCCATAAGGCAGAAGCCTTAATAGATAATTTTAGAATCTGGTACAAAGAGAAATGCATTAGAAACCATGGAAGCACATAGAGACATTCTTAATCTGCCATGAAGACACAGGGAAGACTTCCCAGGAAGACTTCCCAAGATTTAAATTTCCAAAGTTAAATCTTGAAAGAAAAATATGAATTAGAGATAGGAAGTGAGGAAAATTCCAGACATAGGGACATAAAAAAGGCACGGAGGCATTGAATAACTTTCCAAGCAAGATTTTTGAAACCTACCTCGATTGGTTTAGCTTAAATCACATGTTGACCCAAACATATCCTCTGTGGTCAGGAGAATGATATGCTAAAAGGAGTGCCTACTGGCTCTCAAGAGGCAATTATACACATTTCTTCCTAACTCAGCATTTGGAGACTTTGCCTTGAAATTAACCATGATGGGAGTATTTGCATCACAGAACTTAACAAACCCTACGTATTCGAGCTTTTTTTTACTAGCTGTTTACAGGCATGCCTCTGCATGTAATAATTGGTTTAGTCCAATCTAGTTCACCCCCTCAGAGTTGGGAGGAGTTTTAGCTATTCTTAGTTTGCGCCTCTCCCACCAGATCTATTCACTTACCTTCTTTGTTTTCTAGTCCCTGGAAAGCTAATCCTATAGAAGTTATCTTCCAGGAACCCTTTTTCTGACTGCCAGTTAGGTGTGGCCAATGGGAGACATTGGCAAGAAATTGAAGGGCAAGAAGAGAAGACATCAGGGTATTTCTTCCCTGCTCTCTCCCTTGTCAGGTGGCCCACAGCTCTAGATCTTATAAGCTCTGGTAACATTATTTTCTCCCTTTGCTCCTTCAGATCTGGGGGTGTAAAGGCTTTGTGTATTTGTTGACTTCCTTGAGCTTGATGAAAGATTTTTTTTTAAAGATTTATTTATTTATGCATACAAGAACTGGGGTACAGGCCAGAGGTGTGAGGGGGATGAGAGGATTCACCAGAGATGGAGTGAAGAACAGAACAGACAGACTGACTGAAGTACACTGCTGAGCAGTGGGTGAGTCAGGAGAGGTCTGCTGTGCCATGTGGGTAGCTCCCTGCCCGGGGATTGAACTTGTGTTGCAGTGGCTGTGGATAGCTTCATAGGTTGCATCTTAACCCCTTGCGCCACCAGGGGGCCCCTGAGGAAAGTTTTTTTGAAAATGGCCCATACGTTTTTTTTTTTTTTTTTATCCTTACGCTTTTTTTTTTTTTTTTTAAAGATTATTTATTTATACAAGCACTGGGTACAGTCAGAAGTGCGGGAGGGTGAGAGAATTCACCAGAGCCAGAGTAGGGAACAGAACAGGCAGACCGCAAAAATACGTTGTTGAGGGGAGCAGCGGGAGCAGCAGGAGAGGTCTGTCGCGCCATGTGGGACCCTCACCGGTGGCCGGGGATGGAACCAGTGCTGCAGAGGCTGCAGGCAGCTTCACAGCCCAGCAGCGCTCAACCGCTGTGCCACCAGGGAGGCCCGGCCCATACGTTTTTCAAAATCTCAACTGATTATACCTTCCTGCCTGGGCTCAGAATTGATAGAGTTATCTTCCCCCACACTCATGCACAATGTGGGAAAGGGTGGATAGTCAGAGAAAACCAGGGTATTGTTCGGAAAGGAAATGAAGGGAACGGAGATTGAGCTGGACGCAAACAAAAGTTCACTGTGTTCACTTCCACGTCTGTGGATTCTTGATTCAAGTGGGTATATCTCGTGACATTTGGACACTCAGATGAGTCATGGCTAGCAATATAGATCAGGGAATTCTTAGCTTATTAGCAGTTATTAAAACTATAGCAGTTTGGTAGGATTATTCAAGTAGAACATGTTGAATGAAGAATTGTGGGCTAAGGGTGGAACTCTAAGGGATACCAGTGTTTAAGGGATGGTGGGAAAAAAGGAGCCTTAGAAAAAAATTGGATAGAAACTACAGAGATGTAGAGTTGTGTGTGTGTATGTACCACAGTTGGTGTTAGAGTTGTTT